TGTAGTGTGTGTGTGAGAGAGAGAGAGAGAGAGAGAGAGAGAGGCAGGCGGGTGGGGAGGGGGGTCTGTTGCTGTCTGAACTTACAAGACAGCATGCTGACATGCTCTCAGCCCCCCCAAAACCCACTCTCTCCCCCCACATACACACAACTCACTCCCTGTCACACTTCACCCTACCCCCCTCATTTGAAAAGCACATTGCAGCCACTTGCATGCTGGGATAGCTACCACAATGCACTGCTCCCTGTGGCCATTGCAAGAGCTGCTCATGTGGCCACGCCAGTGCACTTGTGGACTGACTGTAGCACTTTCCCTATTGCGTTCTACGAAGGCTGGTTTAACTCAAAGTGCTCTACATCTGCAAGTGTAGTCATGCCCTCAGTTGTTTGGCCTTGCTCCCTCCCAAGCCTACCAATGGGAAACCATCAGAGATAATTACAAACAATTGAAACCACTTTGAGGTGGAAAAGGAACATTACAACAGACAGAGGTTTGCCCTGTCTGAATAGAAACAAAAGGCTGTTTTCAGGATAACACACAAGGGGGAGAAGCATTTTGGATCCATTCACTGAGGCAGTCCCCTGAGGTGCAGGGGGGCTTTCATGAATGTTTGGATCCTGAGTCTTGTGAAATCAGCCAGCTCTACAACAGACTGAAATTTGCAGGGAAAACTTACTTCATATATTGATAAGTCTACAAGGTATGCAGTTTTTTTTTTTTATGTTGTAACCCCTTGCTTTTAACACTTTTTTTTTTCTAGTTAAATTTTTATTTTCACTTAAATCAACTTTTGTTTTATTATAAGGGCTCAGAAGTGCTGTGTGGTTTCCAAGAGTGATGGTTTAAGGTAAAATTTGTAAACTGGGGTTCCCTGCACCTTGGGGGTATGAAGGATCTGGAATTTCTGTGAATAGCCAGTATCAAGGGCTGGAGATCATAGGGATACAATTCAAAGGGGACTGGTGTGCACCTCTTGCTAACCTGCAAGGTGAAGTTAGGGCTGGCAATTGGCAAGATGAGAGTGCTTGAATGTCTGAAAGGCTGGTTGTGTTAGGAAGCTGATGTGGGCCAGGGATAAGCAAGAGAGACTCCTTCACGCCAGAGGCAAAGTGTAATATGGTGCCCCGAGAACCATCACAACAATTACGGCAGTTTGAGTAGGTCAAAACTGTTGAGGCATCGGTGTAGTTCACCATATTGTACCTTGTTCTTCTCAAACATTAATTCAAAAAGCTGTAACGGAGTTTTGTTTCACAAAGTAGTGTCTAATTCCACTTTCAGTCTAGGCATATATACATATTGTTCCACTTTGAAAGTAAATACTTGGATTTTCAGCTGTTTCCAATCTTGTTATTTTACTATAGGTCCACATAACCTCCAGTGGCTGTCTACACAACAACTGCTACAGTAGCACAGCTCCAGGGTACAGTGGTGGAGATGCTTCCCCGTTGATATGATGGGATTTTTCTGGTGCTATAGTTAATCCACCTGTCTCCGAGGTGGTAGCTAGGTCAACAGAAGAATTCTTCCATTGACTTAGCCAGGTGTATCTACACCCAGGATTAGGTCGACCTAACAGCAGTGCTCAGGGCATGAAATTTTTCACAGCCCTGAGCAACCCAGCTAGGTCAATCTAATTTTTAAGTGTAGACCAGCCCTTAGAAAAAAACTAGATCAAAAAGTGGCTTTCTCCCCATTTCCACTTGGTTGGGTCCAGACTGGAGTTCTTGATCTTGTTGTAGTGTATGTTCATTAAGACGCTTGTAAATGCTGCCTATTTCACATTTGTTTCTTATCGGGTTTCTAAGGTGAATTAGACCCAGGCACAAAAGGTTTGTGATCTGGAACATACTTTAATAATGTCCATTAGCCTTAGTGAGTAGTAGGGCTTTGCAGGAGCGGGCCCTTATATTGTAATTAGGCGAGCTGAACAATTTGTATTGGGGGGTGGGGGGGGGTGCTGAGAGCCATTGAACCAAACTGTCAACCTTGTGTATGATGGAAACCACTTCAAGCCGTAGCCCCAGTTCTAGCACCTATGACTGTAAATGGTCTGAGAGCTGCCTCTTAGTAATTATTTATTATTATTATTATTAACAACACCTAGCTTTTATAGAAAGCTTTTCATCCTTTGATCTCAGTTTTTTTTTTCTGGGGAGGGCCAGGCGCTCTGATGACGCTATAGCAATAATAAATGAAACTGTTTAGTCGGTAGTAAACTGTAAGCAGAAGAGAAAATAGCACTGATCGGATTTAACCATCACCCCGACTGCCGGGGAGCTGATGAAGGCGAAGTGGGAGCCGATTTTCCAGGGCGCTTGACCCATCCTAGTCAGAACAAGGGACAACCCCACCAGGGTGACACTGAAGGGAGGCGCCTGCCAGGAAACGCGCCGCGAGGCAGCCCCATATTTGGAAGGGAACCCAGGGAAGCGGGGGCGTGAGAAAGGAACGCGGCGTTTGCCGGAGCTGGGCTTCCCCTCCGCCGGGTGTCACTCTGGGCTGGGCGAAGCGCGCTGCGAGGCGGAGCAGCCAGACTGAGCGCCCAGAGCCGGGCGCCGGCTCCGCACGGCCGCTCGCCGCCCCAGACACCTCGGTAGGGTCAGGATCGTCCCGGCTTCGCCGGAGCCTGCTCGCTCGCCGCCATCCGCTTCGGGCGCGAGGAGGAACGGGACCGGCTGCTGCCTGCCCCGCCGGGAGGAGGCTCCGCGGCCAGCAGGCGCAAGCCGCCCCATGCCAGGAGGATGCTGGAGAGTGGCTGCAAGGCGCTGAAGGAGGGCGTGCTGGAGAAGCGGAGCGACGGGCTGCTGCAGCTGTGGAAGAAGAAGCGCTGCATCCTGACCGAGGAAGGGCTGCTCCTCGTGCCCCCCAAGCAGCCGCAGCCGGGTCCCCCGGCCGCCGAGCCGCCGGCCGCCAAGATCAAGGAGCTGCACTTCTCCCACATGAAGACGGTGGACTGCGTGGAGCGGAAGGGCAAGTACGTGTATTTCACCGTGGTCATGGCCGAGGGGAAGGAGATCGATTTTCGGGGCCCGCAGGAGCAGGGCTGGAACGCCGAGATCACGCTGCAGCTGGTGCAGTACAAGAACCGCCAGGCCATCCTGGCCGTCAAGTCCACCCGCCAGAAGCAGCAGCACCTGGTCCAGCAGCACCCGGGCCACCGCCTCCGCAGCGCCTCCAACTCCGCGTAGGGCGCTCGAGGGACCGGCCGCGGCACAGCCCAGGTACCTCCCCGGGCTCCTAGGAATCCTGCCCCCTCCCCTGCCAGCCCCAGGGCGCCGGGGAGCGTGGGATCTGCGGGGCGCCAGAGCCAAACCAGGACCCCCCGGATCCCTCCCTAGGTCGAAGCAGGTGGGCTCCCAAGCCTCTCAAGGCACTGGGAACCTTTACAAACCAAACCATCGCCAACTTACCGGCCTGGGACTCCGTCTGCCTGGGGGAGAGGGAGGAGGGAAAGAGTTTTCTCTGCTCCCAGCCCTTTCGTTCTCCCCCAGCACCTTCGAGGAGTTTCAGAGACAGCCGGGGAGTGCGGCTGACTTAGCGCTGCCTTTTGCGCCGGGGGTGTATGGTTTCCGAGCCCTGTCCTGTCCTTATACGCTCTAGAAGCCCATATGATCTTCCATCTCCTGCCCTTCCGTTTGTGCCTGGTTCACTGTTGCAGGACGGTGCACCTACCATTTGTCATTCAGAGAACTTGTTCCAGGCACAGGCAGGTTGGCTATCTGTGCACACACCCTTTGTCAGCTCATTCCGATTCCCTTCCTTCTGTATTGTTGTATCACAGGTTGAATCCAAGGAAGTGAGACTGATCAGCATCTTTCTGTTGTGAACATATTTCAGTGGATCGACAAACTTGGCAAACCGAGGAGAGCCACGGAGCGGGGAGACTGGAGAGCATCAGTTCAACAACCTGAAAACCCAGCGAGTTTTCTGCACAATCCCTTCCTTGGTGCGGGGAAAACATTTCAAGTCATATGGACTCTGAGTACTATTTATGAACCTTGGAAAGGATCGTCTGACATGATGGGGCGTCTAGGACACATGATGTACTGTACATTTATTTTAAAGTATTTTATTTTATGGTTATTTATTAGGGATTTTGTAAAAGGCTAGTTTGCAAGACCTTTCTGAATGTAGGCCATTATCCAGAAATCAAATTCCAAATAAAAATTCAAAGCACACCTTAGCTCCTGCATATATTGCAAACTTTGGAGAGAGAGAGAGGGAGGTTGTGGGAGAAGTGAATGACTTATATGGCCATGAATTTTGGGTGATTTTCCACATGGAATACAATAGTTTTCATTTCTACCCAAAATATTCTTTTAGAAACTTGTTATATTAATGTGGAAAGTATAATGCATGGTTTAGAATTAGGATAAAGATCTTAATGCACAAGAAATTGCTTCTCTCCAAGGGTTGGAACCTGATGCCAAGGTTGTTATTATTTTTTAAACATAAATATGGGGGAAGAGTATTACATTTTATACACAACTCAGTTACACAAAAAATAATTTGATTCATTATTATTAGATAAAATACCTTTTGTTTCATTTATCATATACAGCAGTTGAAGAGGGAGCTCTGACCAATTTGATTTGTGATATGAGAATGTCACGTTAAACTTATATCAATTTTATGTGCTCGTTTATTTTGTGTTATGAAAATGGTTGTAAGAGCTGAGAACTATTTATTAAAACTTCTGTACATTCGAGTTCAGGGCTCTCTTGGTACAGAAGGTTTATGAAAGGGCCATGTTCCTGACCTTTTTCTGGCAGATTTTAAAGCCCATCTTGTAAATGTCTTAAAGTATTTAAATGAGTCATTTCAGTCATAATTTTCCTAAACTGAAAAATGCTATATTGCTGAGATAAACAAGTTTATTTTAGAATGTAATATTACCAGATGTTGAGAGATGTGTTGGGATCTTGTCTGCATTATGTTAAAGAACCCCATGAAGTTAGAAAACAAAGTAGTAGGCATATGTGTCTTCTTTCTCCTGTTGAAATCAATGAGAGTTTTGCTGTTGATTTCAGCATATGGGGTGACTAGACCCTGATCCAGAAAAGCAAGTTATGCCCGTAATCATGTGCTTTACTGAATTGGGCCCTTAATGTGGTGGATCATTTCCCATTTTGCACTGCTGTAGTTAAAGCTCTCTGCTTTGAAATAAATAGTGAGTTGTCCTTAAAAATCTGATAGTACGATACGGCCTGTTATCGCTAAGTCAAGGAACAGAGCCTCAGCCATGGAACTATTTCTTTTTACCAACTCAGTAGGGAAACTGCTCTGCCTGTTTATAAGCTATACAAATGTAAACAGACTTAAAGTAATATGTTTAGAACTTCTGATTTGTAGCTTTACCTTAAAAAAAAAGACTGGATAAAAGAAAACATGAAAATGACAGAGAGAGATCTTAAACCAAGCACTGCATTTGAAGGGTATCTTTTAATTTACCCCCTGTCTCACAATGAGGTCCAGTCCTGCAAGGTGCTGAGTTCATTCTGCTCCCCTTTATCTTACAGGGCATTCAGGGTACTAAGCCCCTTCCAGAGTGATGGAACATTATTTAGCCCTGATCCTGCAAACCTGTAAGTAGCCCCATTAATGTCATTGGGACTACACATGTGAATGAAGTTAAGCAAGTGTTAACAGAATTAAGGCCCAGTCCAGCAAACCCTCATGTGAACAGTCCCAGGGGGCTATTGGAGTTCAGGCCCTTTGTGGGGATATATATTGACTGGATTGGAATGGCAGGTTACAATTGCCTTAAGAAAGTCATTCCTTTGAGGCTAATTGAAACTGAGAATGTTCAGCACCTTGCAGGACTGGATCCCCTCAGTCTAGGACACAGGAAGGAAGGAGATGAAAAGATACCCTGCAAGTACAGCAGCTAGTTTTCACATCTCAATACGTTTGCCATTCTCATTCTGCCAAATCGTAGATGATTGTGCTGGAAGGGAGACTTACAAAATAGACTGTAATTTGTAGTGGCTCCTTGAAAACCATCGCCCTTGACTGTGTAAAACATCTACCTTTTAAAAAGTGCCTAAATATTGATTTGTGGAAAAATGTGACCTCTTTTTCAGAGCCATTAATTACAGTTTATCAGGTAGCTAATCCACCCTTTCAGATATACACCCATAGCCCAGAAAATTCACCTATCAAAACATGCATTTAACCAGGTAAAGAATAAATGTAATTATTCAAAATATGTCTCTCTGTGATCCAAGATATGTACTTCCCTGGGAGATGAAGTCATTCCTGTCCTACACAAACCTGATCCAAAGCCCACTGAAGTCCAGACTCCTCCTGATGCTAGAAGGACTTCCATTGACTTCGGCGGGCTTTGGGTCAGGCCCTAAATCACTTAATTTTATCATTTTCCCTCAGAGTGCTTGTGCTTTTAAAAACAAACAAGGACATCTTTTAAAAGGTTTAAATAACATTAAGGTTCTGTCTCAAACTGATAAAAGGCAAGACTTTCAAAATCAAGTTTGATGGCATCATTAGCTCACACTTTGATTTCAACTTGATGGGAAAATGTATCAAAGTGTCCTCTTTCATGTGGCATGTCTTGATTTATGTTGGTTTGAGACAGGCTCTTTCTGTATTATTTGAACATCTATCTTAAATGTAATAATCTTTATCGTGAACAAACTGTTGCTTGTTGATACTGCCAAATGCATTACTTATTTCCCGTTATGTTGTTTAAAACATTTCTGTCAGCCCAGGTGCTGCTGTGACAGGTGAACATCACAAAATCCACTCTGAGTTGGCATCTGTGCTTCTGGTATAAGTAGAAGGTCCAGTGGTTGGCTGGGATGAGGGCGTTCACTGCCTCAGCTCAGGATTGAGGTGGTGTGAGGACAGCCTGGCACATGCTGCTGCTCATGCCATCCCAGTGTCAATAAGACTTCAATCTCTGGGGCATTCAATCTGGCAACTTTCTCAAGTACTAAATTTACTATGCTCTTCTTGAGAATAGTAGCAATACAGACCAAAAATTAAGTTGGACTTGTAAAGATAAATGTTTGTTTTGTTCTTTTCCTACTGAACAGTCTTCATTGACTCTACTTGGTTAAATATTGATTGTCACCTACACGTTCTATGTCAGTGGTAACTACTCAAATAGGTCCAGTGGGTCCTGCACCATTCATGGCAGAACAACATGCATAATCCAACTCAAGGTTCACGAGTGAAGTAACCATGATAGCCCCTCCCTTTAATGGAAGGATAGAATGGGTGTAGGACTCAAATGAGTTTAATAGAAAACAAACTACAGTGCCAGTAAAACAAAAAGAGGTGCTCAGTGTAGTTAGCAGCAGTGTGGAAAGCTGGTTAATAAAGAGGTCAACCTTTTATGTCTTAGTAGAAGACATTGGTGCAGACTGAATGTGCCTGCATGTAAGAAGGGGCAGGATTCGGCAGGGAAATTCAAGCTGTGGTGACCATTCTGTCGCTTAATAGCTTTGTATTCAGAAGCAAGAAGTTCAACCAAATATGATCTCCATTCCATCCTGAAGTAGCTCCTCTTCTTTAAAGTTCATGATCTGTAACTGCTGGCTTCTGATCATTAGCTGCAGCGATGTACCAAATGTTTTCTAGCATAGCCCGTCGTTAGCTGAAATATCGGTGTTGTCAAATTTGTGTGTAAATACGACTCATAAATGATTTCTGAGAGATGTGACTTATTTTTCAAAATGCATTCCATTTCAAATAAAGAGGTATCTGTTGAAATGAATTGGTGCCATGTTGAAGGAACTATCCTTTGGGGCTATAGCTTCTTAGCTTACAAAGGTTTAAGGGGCTGATCTAGAGCCCACTAAAGTTAATGAAAGTCTTTTCATTGACTTCAATACGCTCTAGAAGAGGCTTGTTGGGTTTTTTTTTTTTTTTTTAAAGAAAACATGAGTTCAAAACAACTATTTACATAGAGCTTTCCTAAAAGAACGGCTGATTGAATTACCAGTGTCATCCAGTAACTTTTCTACATACAGCACAGTTGTAAGGTGTTAGGTCTTGTAGCTTGTGCATGGGTGGACTGCTCTTTGATTTCAGTGGGGCTCTGCCTGGCACAGGAGTTCACCCACATGCAACAAGTTGCAGGACAGAGGCCTCCTCAGACTGTATCTTTATCAGTGAGCGTGGTGATCTCTATGGATGAGGTAGAGAAGCTGGGTAAGAGTCTAAAGAACAGCATGAGATTTGCCTTGTTGCTCTTCTATCAGCATCTAAAAGCCTCTGATGGAATTTCAAGTAACCTTTAAGTAGCCCGGAAAGGACACTTCAAACATTAGGAGTATCCGCTTACAACAGCACTTGTTCCTTATACGTGACAAGGAATGATGTGTGAAAAGAAGAATGTGCTACTGCCTCTGTTGCTTTTGGAGTCTCTGTGGAATGATAAGTCTTCAGGTGTGTCGAGCTGCCTCAGTGAAGTTAAGCTGTGTTACCGTGACCTTTGACATTTAGCACTAACAATTATATTAAGTTCAGTGGCACAATTCGTTCTCTGGCTCTCTCGTAAGTACATATAACAACACACATTTGCCAGTCTCTTTTATTTGAGAGTCACTAAAAATATGTGCTCTAATGTGTATTTCAAGAGTTGTTCAGGCCAAAATTTTCAACTATAGGTGCCTAAAGTGTAAGCACTTTGATCCATAAACAACTTTATTTTTAGAGGTGCCGAGTGCTCGCTTCTCCCTCTGAGCTGCTGGTGCCCAGCTACTTCTAAAAATCAGGCCACTTTTAATTAGGTGTCTGTAGATTTAGTTGCTTAAATGTTAAGCTCCTAAGGTTGAGAATGTTGCTCGCAGCTTTTAAAGGGTGATATCAATTATTACCTTGTAATTGTAGCTTGAAAAACATGTAAAGAAAAATATTTTACAACAAGGAATAGGAATACATAATAAAAGAAGAGTTTTGAAAAGAAGCTCAATCTATTAGCTTGACAAAGAGAAGGTTAAGGGGTGACTTGTCATAGTATCTACCTGGGCTACAAATATTTGATGCTAGGCTCTTCAGTCTAGCAGACAAAGGTATAACAAGAGCCAATGGCTGGCAGTCAAAGCTAGACATATTGTTAACAGCCAGGATTATTAACCATTAAAACAATTTACCAAGGGTTGCTCATGGTGGATTTTCCATCACTAGCAATTTTTAAAGCAAGATTGGCTGTTTTTCTAAAAGATCTGCTCTGGTTCAAATAGAAATTATTTTGGGGAAGTCCTATGGCCCAGGTCATGCAGAAGGTCAAACTAGATGATCCCAGCAATTCCTTCTGGCCTTAAAATCTATGAATAATTTGTCATTTTCAGTGTTTCCACTAAAGATGACATCAAACTCTGCGTGTAGGGCACCACTTACAAGATCTATGCCCACGTGAGTCCTATGTAAGTCCTATCATGCTGCCTCGAGTCAGACTTCAGTGGTAGAAAGGTCTTGTGTGGGCATTGTGCACAGAAGTGAAGTTCATCCTACGTGAATTGGGCTGTTGTCTTCCTCCGTAGGGGCAATCATTTTAATAATGCCTTCCAGAGAGAGTTTACTTTGATGTAAAGTAAGATGGAAAGAACACAATATAAAAACATTAGGAATCATTGCAAGATGATAAGGTAGGATTTATTGGCTTGATCTGAAACCCTCTGAATTCAATGGGAAAATCTTTCCATTGACTAAAATAGACTTTGGCTCAAGCCCCATAAGCAGACTTTTGGTGTTGTGCATGAATGCATATTTACATTTAATTCTTTTTATTTGTGTGTTTTTTGTTTTGGTTTGTTTAGTTCTTTTGTGTGATCTTAAATTATTAAACCATGACTGAATTTAGAACAGTGACACTTTGATTCCTAAATACTTTCACTATCACTTTGCCATTGTTGTGAAAATGGTGGCTTTCCTTTTTTAAAACATGACACTTTCCCCATGATTTACTCGTTTGCAATTAGATGCTGTGATGAGAATAACTTTAATTATTCTGGGGTTTTGCTTTCAATTTCTACAGTAAAACTTGGACAAAGATCGTTGGAACATGAAATGACTTGTGGTGTTTGCTAAGGGCTTGGCTACGCTTGAGAGTTAGTGTGCAATAAAAGAGCCCTGTGCACACTAGCTCACTTCCTGGCCACACTAGCAAGGCATGTAGAGTGCCCGGACTCCATGGCTGGAGCTCTCCTGGTACTCCACCTCGGTGAGTGGAATAACATTTGCTGCGCCCCCACTGGAGTGCCGCAGCGCCAGTGTGGACGACCTATCCTGTTAATGTGCTCTGATCGGCCTCCAGAAGTGTCCCACAATGCCTGTTCTAGCCACTCTGGTCATCACTTTGAACTCTACTGCCCTGCCCTCACGTGACCAACCATCAGACCCGCCCTTTAAATTCTCTGGGAATTTTGAAAATCCCCTTCCTGTTTGCTCAGCCAGGCGTAGAATGCTATCAGCGAATCTTTCCAGGTGACCATGCCTCCATGCACCAGGCGAGCCCCAGTATGGAGCAATGGCGAGGTGCTGGACTTCATCAGTGTTTTGGGGGAGGAAGCTGTCCAGTCCCAGCTGAGCTCCAGCTGTAGAAATTATGATACCTTCGGGCAGATATCAAGGGACATGATGGAAAGGGGCCATGACCAGGACGCACTGCAGTGCAGGATTAAAGTGAAGGAGCTGCAGAATGCCTACTGCAAAGTCATGAGGCAAACAACTGCTCCGGTGCTGCCCCTGCGACCTGCTGTTTCTACAAAGAGATGGACGCGATACTTGGGAGTGACCCCACCTCCACTCCGAGTTCTACCAAGGACACTTCAGAGCCCAGTTCAACAAGGCAGGAGGAGGAGGAAGAGGTGGTGGAGCAAAGCAGGAGCGAGTGTGCTGAGGCACAGGAAGACACCCCAGAATCCCTAGATGCATGCAGCCAGGAGCTGTTCTCAAGCCAGGAGGAAGGTAGCCAGTCGTGGCAGCCAGTGCTTGGGAATAGACAAACACCAGAGGAGGTTCCCGGTAAGCAGCTTTTATTTTGGGAAGGAAGTTATTCGGTGCAGGCTCTTGGGGCGATGAGGATTAGCGCTGCATGCATGCCTAGATGGGGTGTTGATGTGCTCTCGCACATCGCAGTAATCAGCCTCAGTGATCTCTTCAAAGCTCTCATCCAGAACTTGGGCAATGCGCTTGCACAGGTTTCTCGAGAGAGCCACTGCGGTCCTTGTCCCAGTAAGGCTAACTTGTCCGCGCCACTGTGCTATGAGGGGTGGGGGGACCATTGCTGCACACAGGCAAGCTGCATATGGGCCAGGGTGGAAGCCGCATTGCAGTAGAAGACCCTCCCTTGCTTCCCAGGTCACCCTCAGCAGCGAGATATCTTCCAGGATGAACTCCTGTGGAAAATGTGGGGACAGTGTTCAGTATAGGGGGCCCCTGCTGCTGTTGGCTCTCCCCATGGCACAGAAACCCAGAGGACAGTACAGCCATGAAACAATCAGTCACGCTTGACCCTGTGCTTACTCACCATTTTGGGGCTCCCGTGGGTTTATGTGCGCTCACTTTGGGATGGGCAAATTATGCTATTGTGTAGAGTGTGCTTGCCCTTAAGTACAGGGGAATCATTGCTCTGTCTGGTGTGAACAATGCTGTCTCTGTTAAGTTTTGCATTTTGCCTTTACAGATGCAACTTTGAGATCTCAGCCGTCTGTGTTATCACCGGCCGAAAGACTCCAAAGAATCAGAATGAGGCCACATAGAAGCAAGGAAGACATGCTGCATTACTTCATGCAACAGTCAAGTAATAACAATCAAAAAGTGCAGGAGTGGTGGGAGAGTGAAAGGAGGATCTGCCAGCAGAACGAGGAGCACCGACACAAAAGCGTGGTGCTCCGGCAGAAAAGCACAGATCGGCTGATAAGCATATGGAGCGCCAAGTAGACTCTATCCAGGCGCTCGTAGCCATGCTGGCAGAGCACTACCGCGCCTGTCCCCCCCTGCAGCCCTTGTCCCAAAACTCTTTCCCTTGTGCCCCCATTTCACTTCCAACCCACCGTCCCCAACATCCGGGTTCTTATCGCCACCAGCTGCCTCCAACACCTGTAGCTTCACCACCCAGCCCTGAAAACTATGACCCTTACCCACTGCACTCAACCCCAATCACAATGCAGTATAGGCATCCTAAAGTGCGACACTCATTGCACAGCACTCCAGACAGCACATATGCATATCTATGATTGTACCATACCCCACCCCACCCCCTTGCCCTTTCTGTTTCCCAAGCAGTTGTGTTTCTTTTCAATAAATGGATTTTTTGGCTTTGAAAACTTTCTTTATTATTGCATAAATTAAAAGATACCTTAACCCAAGAAAGAAAGAGGCACTGCAAGTCAGCGTAGCAAACACAGATTCCTACTAACATTGGAACTACTGCACTTCACTCCCGTGCAGGGCACCAGACATTACTGGTGGCTTTCAGCCTCAAATTGCTCCCTCAAGGCATCCTTAATCCTTGCAGCCCTGCGGGCCCCTGTAATAGCCCTGTTCTCTGGCTGTTCAAATTCAGTCTCCGGGTGTTGAACCTCAGAGGTCCATGCCTGAGTGAAACATTCACCCTTCCCTTCACAAATGTTATGGAGGGTACAACACGTGGATATGACCGCGGGGATGCTGTGATCGGCCAGGTCCAGCTTCCCATACAGAAAGCGCCAGCGACCTTCTAAAAGGCCAAAAGCACACTCCACAGTCATTCTGCACTAGCTCAGCCTG